GTGACTGACCAGTAAAAAAGCAGCGTACGTTGGTTGAAATCAACAATAGAATTTAGTTGTTTTTTTTCAACGTTTTTAATTCTATGCCTGACGCTGTTCTTGAATCAGACCCCCTGCCACTAAATATCCTTGGTCACTTACTCGTCACCTTTCGCCTCTACGCCTCATGGACACCACATGCACCAAACTGTCCTCGCAACTCACTTCCATAACGGCCGTCTCATGGCAAACTTTGACCTCATTTTAGAATTTAAACAACTTGTCATATTTTAAAATTCTAAAAAGAGTTACTCAATTGTCAAAACTCAACATCAACAAATGTTCCAGAAAAATTATAGGTGTGATCATCGACACACAGTGCTCATTGCATTGCAGGAGATACGTGGCATCACGTAACTCTTTCCTTTCTTGGTCTTGTGAAATAAGAATTTGGAAATTGTTATGATTTTGAGATAATGTAACAATTTACTAGTAAACTAGTTAACTTTCCGGATGACCGATCCCCCTACCCCCGCTTTCCAAGGTCGCGAAAAAGTAAAAAAATTGTTTGTTCTTTTCATTTACATTGTCCTAATGTAAGACTGAGGACAGAGGGAGCGGCATAACGAACATTTCCATTACAATCTCCCACTTCTCTTACTTGAGTCGGAGGTGGTAATGTTTACGATTTCGCTATGTTTTTAGTACAATGCTGCAAGTCTTCTCCCATACATCTGCAATCTTAGGCCCCATTTACAAGCTTCCTTTTGACGAATGAAATGTGGCAGACAGGCGAGAATCCTCCCGCATTTACACGTTTTGTTTTCAGTAAAGAGTTACTCTTATTAATACTTTGTACTGTACGTCAAGATCTTTTCGTCGGGATGTAACTACGTCCTATCACGTCACATTCGCCTATCGCGCGAACTTACAAGTGAAGACGAGGCGTGTTGTTATGGAGAAGTATTTATTAGTACAATATCTTTATTAGTATAAGTGTACTTTGGCACAGGGAGTCCAATATTTGCATAAACATTTGTCAATCAAGAAATATTAAAAATTTTAAAATATTGTAAAAGGGAATTTTAATAAATATATTTATATTTATATTGATTTTCCAATTTATTTTCAAACTGATAAATAAAATGTATTCGTTTAATTGTATTACAATCACATGTCTTTAATTTTAAAATCGAAAACATTTACATGTTTAATAGTATAGTATTAAACTATATGAGGGAATTTTAATAAAAATATACATATTAGATTTACTATATATGTAATTTATGTTGTAATAGATAGTATTGAAATATTGATGGAAAAATACTTTATATTTTACCAAGTTTGGTCGTTAAATCAGTTAATCATTACAAAATATTTAATAGGAAGCCCAAACATAACCAACACCAATTTAAGTCGATGCGCACAACCGAAACAAACTGGTAAAAGCATAAAAAGCCTTAGGTATTCGTGTGGAGTTCAGGCGTTCTGACGAAGGAAAATAGCATCGGAAGGAACCACCAGAGGCAAAAGTCCCTAAGCCCTGAAGACTCACTGCCCCCACGTGTATTCGACGAAACTGAGGTATCGTTCTTGAAAAGGAAAGTGTAAATCGGGACTTCGTCATCTTTGCAACGGCACTAACAGGCTTTGCTTCTGAGGCGCGTACCACGTTAGTGATCAAAAGCTTTAGTTCTGGTGGAGTTAGACGTGACTCACTCGTACACAAGCCATGCGTACCCTCTCACTACGGCAGGGCGAGGCGCTCCAACCCGCTTCCCGCCCCTTCCCCAGCAGGCCGCCTCCTTTGAGGACTGCGTCGTCAAGACCCGCTTCCACGCTCCCCTCGCATCACGAACTCGGCGGGCAGGTGCACCAACGCCGAAAGGTCGCTCATTCCCGGCTGGCAGAGAGTTCGCCAGGCGCAGACCTCGAGGGTTTGGCCTACTTGCCACCCACCCTCAATACTACGAACAGACTGAACGAACGGGCAAGGGCCAAAGTAACACTACTAGATCTACGAACTAAAGGATCATGACAATTCAACTGGTGTTCTGTGGTATTTCGAATATAACTCCTTCCTCGAAGTAATCACTACGCTTTGACATACTCATTTACGAGAACATTAAAAGCTCCTTGGCTCAATCGAAACTATCAAATCCATCAAGAACATTCTGTGTACACTTTAAAAACTTGAATAATCAAATTATCTTCACATTTCTACACTAATCAGCTTTCTGTTCCGCAACTAAAGCGTTTTCCCATGGAGAAAAGAGTTGACCAACTTCAAAGAATTAAAACCCGTTATGCTACGAATTTATTACATTCTTCATGACGCGATGTTATTTTGAACAGTAAAAAATATTCAAAGGGAAAAAAATATATTTAAACTGGAGATGCTATAACTACTCATACTTTCTAGCATTACTACAAACGTTTTGCAATATTTGAAAATTGAGAAGGTTCACGAAAATGAGACCTCCGCTGTTTTCTTTGAAGCATTCTCTATGAGCCACCTCCCGTGTTGAAACATGCACCACACATGCGGACTAATGACTACAGAGGTTGCCGCGCCCGGAAACAAGACGTAATCAATCAACCGTACAGTACATATTCTATCAAAAGTATCGACTCGAGACATTTGCTTTACAGAGATGCGCTAAAGAAATTCTATCACAGAGAGAAGTGGTATGATATAAAAGGGTCTGCTAAAAAAACCCCAACCCGATAGATTACATGTACACAACACTTGAGCGTGTGACCTATCGGAACAGGAAACTGGCGAATGTCCCATATACGAGTACCAATTATGGTCGTGAGGAAAACGCGACTTGGTCTTCCTCATATCCGAAACGTCCATCTGCCACACAACCTTCGGGCAACCTTTCCTCGTTTCTCCATCGGTATCTATGCTCTCCTTATGTAAGAATTTGCGTATGGTAACTTTCCTCCTCTCAAACAAGTTTTGATGCAAAATTTCTTTCACTCTTAAATGCACAATGCCTAAGGCTTTCTTCCCCACGTTCCATTTTCTGACTGTGACTTGAGCAATCGAAACATCTAGGAGCTGAGACGTCAGATTTGAGGAGTGAAATATACTTTTCTTCTAAACCAGCTCCACTCAACAAGAGCAGTCACCACAGGTAGTTGCTTGCCTTGCGAAGTAAATGAAAACGGTGGGGATAGCGCTGATGTTATCAGTTTAAGGAGAAGAAAGAACGTATTCTCTTGAAACGGAATTAACTCTTATAGTTGCTCACGTTGATCTCGTTAACTCTCAACGAAGCCTACTCTAAGTGGAGAAAGGATGGGAAACTGCACTCTTCTATGGACATTTTGTAAGTTTACTAAGCATGAACCTTCAGGTTTGGAAAGGTTGTCAGTTGTGATTAGGACGAATCTAAGGTTAAAATGAAGTTAATATTCCATTGAGAGAGACACAATGAAAAGAGTTGTACTAGGATTTGAAGCAGTGAGAGAGTTGTGAGAATTTCCTCCCGCTAATTCTCCAAAGGTTAATATTTTGCATCAATTCAAATTGGTTTTGTATATTGATTTAATTGTCAATGATACATAATTTATCTGCAAACAAATGAATATCGTTTCAATTATATTTCTAATACAGCGTTATAATTCACAACATGGGATACGCTAAATAGTAAATAACCATAATCTAACCACAATGTACAAATTAGTTATCAATCACCATTTTAATAATTCAGGAAAGACAGCATTGCAAATGAATTTTGAATGAAAAGACGTTTTACCATAGGTTTAGGAATTTGTATGCACGTATTTGAAGCTCATAGAAGTAATTATCAGCATTTGTATCATGTATGTTACATAGTAATATATTGACAAAATTGGGAAATATTTAACCAGAAGTTTAAATGCTTGAATTTAATTTATAGTTTGTTACTGAACATAGCGGACAAATGAGAATAAACTATTTGCAAATTATATTCATTCAAATTTTGATAATTATTTTCAGCTTTCGACGCGATAACATTAATTATTTTCTTCTTTGAATTAGCATAATTTTTTTCGAACAATGAAACTGAATGATACAATCGAACAAATGTGAAGACACTTCTACTTTGAGTGACTTTTATTCATGGAGTAGAAATGAAAAATTCCCCAAACAAAGCTAGTGGAAACGTACAGAAAACCGAAACTTCTTCCACTCTTAGTGCTATGAAATACATAATATGGATATTGTAATGAATAAACCCCTACTAAATGTTCTGATGGTGGCAATTCATTCTACTGAAAAGCAGAATGAATATATTGCCCTCCTACGTCACATGAGCACATAGGGATTCCAAGACATTGAACATTTATTTTCGATACAACCAATAGTATTTTATACGTTTAGTTCAAATTCCATCCACCTAAAAGCAATATTAGGGAGGTTCCATGGTGTCCCCAATAAGCCTAATCCATGTATTGGAAAACAAATACTCCAGGAAAGCAAATATCAAGCTCTTATGAGAGACTTTAACATAAGCTTTTTTTAAAGTTTAAATATATGATAACAATTGGGCTACCTTCGACATAACTTGAGGTCCAATCGCCCACACTCAAGCCTGTTGGTGGTTATCATATCTTTTCGGAAGAAATCCATGCTGGTTAAATGACAATATATTTTTGTGTAAAAAGCTCTCTGGAGGTTTTTCGGATATGATCCTCTCCATTATTTTTAGACAATTACTTATTTAAAGTAAAATACAGGTCAAAATTTGTGTGATGTGCTGTAGAGAACTACAAAGTAATGCGCGAAGCCAATGATAATGGCCTATCATAGTGAGGACGTCTTCTGTTGCTTTTTCACACTTTCGGTCTGAAACGTGAAATGTTACGATTACGAAAAGTGACTCAAAAAACTACTAACATTTAAAAAGGTTACACATGTTATCATTTCGACTTATAAAAATGTGGGATAAATAACATTGAGGAAGAAATCTCAAGCTTTAATATTGGAGATGACGGACATGAAAAAAGTTGTAAACTTTTGAAATTTTCGAATTTTTCTAGAATTTAATGAAAATCAGAACTACATCATGACTAGATTCATTCGAGGAAATACCCGCAGCTCTTTTGTCGTTGGCTCATTCATGTTCAATGTACCTCTATCTTTGGAAATGAATACTGAGTAGTTTCACAAATAAGATGAAAGAGATGAATCAACACCACAAAGATCAGAAACAAGAAAGAATTGGATATTTACGTATATCTTCAGCTCATCGTAAGATGTTTGTTCATTTTATCGACAAGAGCGACACTGAAAATCATGAGCGGTTGACTGTATTATTTTCTTCACATGTTCTTCCTTGAAATGGTTATACGCATCTACATTAAGCATTCATTATTTCCATCGGACGATACAATAGTGAATAAAGATAAGGTGAATCATGTTGGAAGCTTTCTCTGCAGGCCCCCGATTGCACTCACCAAGGCGGCGGCCGGGGCCCTTGGAGCGGGTCGCACGGCTCCCCTGCGACTTCCTGGTGCGGCCGGAGCCCAGCCGCTTCTTCTGGCGCGAGCTCGGCCCTAGAAAAGCATCACGAATTACACTCTGATCGACAAACTTCAAAACACGCCTTTCATTCGCATTATTTTTCATTTACTGGCATGTTCGTCCATTGCAATCATTACTTTTATAACATTAATTTCATCTTCGGCATTGGTACCCCTGGTATGTAAACAGTATATTAACTGTTATTATACTTTTGGTTGTCAAACACCGTCACAAACACAGAAACAATAGACACACATCGTCATAAACACAGAAACTTCCAAGAGATAACTAACAGAAGATGGAAAATAATGTTATTGATAGGTTCCAAATGAATAGTATTTCAAGTGTCAACTTTTTAACAGAGGTAATAGGATAAAAAAGTTGAGTAAGTAGAAAAGTGAAGAACATGTGCAACAATTTGACCGACTAAATGAATATAGTCAGCAAATGGAAATAACTGGTACATCGCTATGCGGCGTCATCAAATTCTTCAGCACTAACGAGTTGATTTTAATGAGACACAGATTGACAAAAGATCAGAGAGTGAGAAAAAAGGTTAAGAGAAATACTGCTTACAGCACAAGTTAAGAAGAAATAGTTCCAAATGGTGCATACAATGTGAAAGAGATGAGTGATGATGGTGGTGAAGTAATGGGTGACAGTGTCGTCATTTCTGTGCATGTTGGTCTAATATTGCTAGACATCTGTTTATCGAGATCTCATTTATATACTTTGTCAAAGTTTAATTCGTTAATTGAGTCATACTTATACATTAATCTCTTTCATTCCCACAGTATCCAATACTTTTTAATGTTAGAACATACAGATAATATTAGATACAGCGTCCAGGAAGGAAAGTACGCAGTTCAGTATGTTACAAGACAAATATCCAATTTATACTTAAACTGAAATAGTGTATCTCTTAATATTTTTAAAGTGGTGAAATAATAAGACACCCAACAAATAAATTAACAACTTATAATTTTATCCTTTCCTTATGCATAGAGTGAGTATTATAGGAATGCAGATGACGGAATATTAGCGTAGGCAATGACTAAAAACTTTTCTCTAGAAAATACACTTTATACACCGAAAGATCTCTCAAACATGGCCTACAATGTTTTGGCGACTGTTCTCTTTGATTCAATTTAGTTCCTACTGAGCAGATGTAACTTGTCTTCCTCCAGGGAATCATTCGTTCAATCTCCAAAGTGAACCACAATACCTCTGGCGGGTAAAGAAGTAAATCATAGCAATGTTTTCAAAGTATTGACTGCTTAGGGTGAACTTTCTATTCCCTGGCTGCACGATGCGGAAGGAGGAGTAGGGGAGACAGAGGACCAAATCGAAGCTGACACCTTTAAGAGTACTTAAACATTTTATGGCTAAGGACGCAGGAGCTTCCTCCGTTGTCGCTCGATATTCCGCCACTTCGCTGCGCGACAGCTTTATTCGACGTCGATGCGCGCCGCTCTGGCTCGCCGCACGCGGATTCCGATCTGCCCAAGCTCCCTAGGGAAGCCTTTTCCCTGACACTGACGCATAAGGTTGGGGAAATAAGAAGTAAAGTATTCGAAGATGAAAAGAATAGAAGTAATAGAAGAAAAATATTTAAATTAGATTTATAGATTTTATTGTTACTTGAAAAGTTTATTAAAATGTGTTTGTTTATATTTCAAAGAGCGACTCTTCTAGAAACGCCTTACTTAAAACACATGTATAATAATAATAATAATAATAATAATAATAATAATAATAATAATGAGAAGAAGAAGAAGAAGAAGAATGGTATCCGTGTTTCGGGCAAAAAGCATGTCTACTTGTAGATGTGACTGTGTTGTGCGATCAAAACGTCGTCATCAATGAAGCAGAGAAACGTCTTAGAAATAAGTTTGGAAATCGAGATCAGTCGAATGTGGGCCGTAAAAGCGCAGGTCGTCACGATAGAAACGGGAGCTCTGGGATTTGTTCCGCAACATTTGGCTAAGAACTTGGTTAACTCCCACGTCATTCAAAAGATCGGCAAGTGCAAGGCATTGCTTTTTTTGGGAACAGTTCTCATTTTGCGCGAAGTATTGTAGATGAACCGATAGTCCCTAGATCTGCTCCTTAGGAAGCTGGATACAACTCGGGGTGAACTTTATAATCAACCTACTCACTCATAACACTATCGGTCGAGAATTAGAGCAATAATAATAATAATAATAATAATAATAATAATAATAATAACAACAACAACAACAATATCCTAATGTCTGCCTGGATAGCCGAGGTCGCTAAGGATGGAGAGTCGTAGCTGCCTCGTTTCTGAAGGGTCGCTGGTTTGAATCCCGTCGTGAGCATGAATGCCTGTGTGTCTGTATGTTTGTAATTGTCCATTCATTCTTCATCATCATCATTACATACCTCATCCCCTCAGTGATAATAACCTTGGAGTGTAAAAATGGATTCAGAATAGAAAAGTTGAACACTCACAAAAGTCACCCAGAAATATGACTGGGTCTCGATGGGTACAGTTGCACGTGCGCGTGATCCTACGATGACCGATTCGCGACCCCCAAAAATTACGTCTCATTTGTAAACATTATTTTGAAAGTAAATGTCTCCTTCTGATCTGAGGTTGTTATGGGTATCAATTATCTGAACCGAGAGACGGCCATTCCTTAAAATAATGTGTCTGTCCAGTTTTGGTAGATAGCGTAACAAACCTACAAACTAAAAGTGAAGCAACTTGAGTAAAAATAATCGATTTTTCTGTCGAAAATTCGCATGTTTCCAATGCACGATTACAATGCTTTCTCATCTTACGAAGTGAGCGCCAGACACTAAAATTTAGCTAACAGCGATCTGAGTTCTTTACGCATCATTTTCTGAAAATAAAACAACTCAAGCAACAAATTCAGAAAAACGTTACAAGTCTTTAAATGTGCTGGAATACTTGGTTCATATTGGATGCTGGTGTTTCAGACAGAGCAATTAGTCTTATTTTCTTCCATAGGTGCGCCATAGTGGCCTCAACTGATTATCAAAAGGGATAATGTAATGGATATTTTGTGTAATTTTATTACGATTAGCAATTGTTCCACTACTAGAATCGACTAGCATAATCTTTATTACATATCTCTTGCTACATACGAAGAGAAAATTTAAAGAAAGAATTGTTGCCGTTTAAGAAAACATTTAAAAATTGCCTACATTTTGCACAAAATTCGGCGAAAAGTACTCATATTTTCAAATAGTTGTACTTGATCTTATTTCAAGATCTGTCTTGAATGGATTTCATTAAAAAAATTGCTATCTTCAATATTATTTTTGCAGAAAGACCCCCAAAATACTGCACTCCTGTGATTTTCAAACAATTTGGGATTTTAATGAACGTGAGTCCTGTACCATTCTCCCAAGCGTTCTTTACGCTATGCGAAGACGAAGTTTAATAAAAAATGGAGCCAATTTTCCTGAAAAAATGTTTTTGAGGCTTCATTTAAAATATTCGCGAAATATCCGCTTCAATCTCCCAATGCCTCATGATAGTTCAGATCGATCGGGGAATAACTTAAGTGGATTGCTTGTAATAGTTAAACATTTCTTTCATTCAAAGACAACTAATAGCTCTCCAACACAAACTTTCTCCTAGTGTTTTTAACTTCTGGAATTATCGAAAATTCAGAGAGTTCGATGAAAACTAAACCTGCACCTTGTTTAAACGTCGTTTCCTCTCTATTCGGGGTAAATATTTATATAAAAATGTTGACACGTTTTTAAAGAAAAAAACATTATTTCACGAAAAATAACGCCAAAAACTCTCATATTTTTGAAAAATATACACGACCTTCTTTTAAGATCTACTTTTAGAGAACGATTTTATCAAGGAAAATACCTCTTATCTTCAATATTGAAGTTGTAGGAAGACGCCGAAAACACTTTGAACTTCTACAGCTTTTGAAAATTTATTTCAAAGAAACTAGGATCTTCACAATTTTTATAAGCATACTTTATTCAATCCGAGAAAAAATAATAAAAACCTGGATCCAGTTTTGAAAATAATTTTAAAGTATTGTTAAGACAACGCAAAATACAAATTGTCGTTTCAATTTGGTTTCGAATTCTCAGGACCTCCAGTTACGCCTTATCGATCGCCGGAATATCAGTTTTCGAGAAAATTGTCCGAACCGTTTCTGCGATAGTGTTTCCCATGAAGAGTCATGCGGACGGATGGACGGACTGACAGACTGTCGTAAACATTGTTCGGGGCAAAGGACTCCCAAAACGTGATTTCTGACGACATAACGCGATATAGAAAGTAACGTGCTTTATTTAGGAACAAGAATTATCCATTTTTCGGTAACAGACATCCACAAACCGTCTTTTTTTGTGGAAAAACTTCGTTTATGTCGCAGCATTGCAAAACTTGCTCTATACTCCGTAAGAAATATTTCAGAAATTACAAATGAAAAATTTGAAAAGAACAGCGTTCCCGGAGAAAATTAGTTTGCGAACTAATTGCAAAACAATGAAATTTCATTCTTTGTTATTCATTCAACATCACTGTCAATAGCGAAATTTGGGTTCTTTCACTTTTTTGACAAAACAAAGTTTTTAATTGCATAATTTTTTGAATTATACTATTTTAAAACCACCCTTGATTGAAAAAAATATTGCAAAACACATTTCGAAGTTTCAACGCATTGCACGTCGTACTTAATACGACTATTGTAAGAGTCTAGCATGCTATTTGTTGAATTATATTTCAAAGTCTTGCAGAACATGAAGCTAAGAGTCACTTAAAGAGGGCTGCAACTGCATTCGCAGGACATAAAAAGTCCCGTCTGATAACGCCTCCGCCGCAGCCCAATTGCACGCGGCGGAACACAGCGGGGCGCGCGCAATCCGAGAGAGCGTCTTGGCGCGCGCCCGGAATGCGGGCGGGGGCGGGCAGACGCTCAGCTCTCAGCCCCCGCAAATAATTAATCCGGCCACGCCTCGGCCGCAGCGCAGAGCGCGGCCCGAGCGAGTGGGGCCGTTGGAGGCCGAG